GTGTGCACAACAACAGATATAATGTTAGAGCTGCAAGCATGATGATGAACACAATATTTATCAGCAATGTCATATGATTATCTTCCAATAAGCTTAGTGTTTATGTTTTTTATGATGGAGGCTTTGAGCTCACTTTTTATGCTCTTGTAAGAGCTCTCTTTTCTCTAAGCATTGGATTCCTTTATGCAAAAGATTCAACATTCAAACCAGATCTCCAGAGGCTTACTTTTCCTCTCACCATTCTGGGGTGTGCATTAAAATGATCAACAATGGTCAAATACCAAGGTACTGTTACTAAAATTAATTTATATCAATGGTCTCCAAATATACAAAAAAATTGATGAGCGCGTATAATATATATATAAGCTGAATAACCCAATGATTTTCAGAAAATTAATTATACGAAGATATGAAAAGTGAGATAGAATCAGTAGTAGTAGAAGAAGGCCAAGATTCTAGATTCATGAGGAACCAACACAGAGGGATTCTCAGAATGGAACGACAACACAGAAAGCATAACCATCAGCCTATTGTGCAGGTTCACGCATGCATATATATAACTGATCTCTTTCCTAAGAAAAACTAAGTGTTGAAACATGCATGCATTCATATATGTGTGTGGGTATAATCTCATGCATATATACCTTATAAAAATTATTAACAATTTACTTTTTTTGGGGCCAGATTATAATTGATGGAAGGGACATAGATGCTAAGATGATGATGGGATTTCAGTTGCCAACTCTAGTTTATATGGCACGAGAGAAATGACCCAACTTCCTCACCATTTTAAAGCAGGAGCCATGAATGCCCTTGTAAGTACTTCTCTAATCATAAATGTTTTTAATTTCCAACATCATATATATGTTGTGTGTTCAAATGAAGTTATTGACAGAAACCTGTACATATATATGCAGATAAGAGTGTCGCCAGAGATAAGCACAACGGACCTATAATTCTCAACTTGGATTGTGACAGTACCTAAACAGTGCAAACACAATACAAGAAGCACTATGTTTCTTCATGGATGAGAAGAGAGGCCAACAGATAGCTTATGTGCAATTTCCCCTAAGCTTTAACAATATCACCAAGAATGACCTTTATTCAAGTGTTTTGTTTCTTGTTGCTATAAGTGTACTAAACACCTGTTGGTACTAATATTTTAATTAAACTACTCCTTTTTAGATATGATTGTAACATGAAAGACTACTCATAAACCTTTCATTGTACTATTGTCTAAGATGAGCTTGCGGCTTTGGAGGGGGAATGGAGGATCTTTATATTGTGGAAATGGGTGGTTTTCAAAAAAGAGAGAATCTCTCCGGAATGTACTTCAAAGATTATTACAAACCAAAATGGGACACCAAAACTAAAGGGACGAAGACAAAAAAGAATAGCCGATGAATTAATTGAAGCATCGAAGGCTCTTGTGAGCTACACCTACGAGAAGGGCACTCAGTGGGGCAAAGAGGTCAGTGTTTATATATCAAGCATAATACATGACTCTAATTAATTTAGAACACTTGGAGTACTATGTTATGTTCATTATATATATATATAGATATATTTGTGGTGCATACGTAACAAATAATGATTGTGCAGATGGGTTTATTGTATGGGATTCCTGTAGAAGACATAGTCATAGGGCTTATGATCACATGCAGAGTGTGGAAATCAATTTACTATAACCCACAAGAAAAAAGGGCCTTCATGGGAGTAGCTCCGACAACCTTTGGCGTGCTTCTTGTTAAGAAAAGGCGGGGACAAGAGTTGTCTCTTCCAACCCTTTGCTATCTTATTTTCTTCCCATTTCCACATTTCGTTGGTGTTCCATGTGTTCCCGGAGGTAAACCTCGTATATATTAATCCCCCTTGTCTTATCTTTTCATATGGACCAAAAAGACATAGTCTACTGATATAAACTTTGCTATTGATAACGGAAAAACTTAGCTAATTAATTCTTATATTTGGTTGTAGAGGTGATATCTATTATAAATATAAGTTCTTGAAATAATTATTGCCTCTTGGTGGTAGCTTACAAGCCCCTGGATCGTTCTATTCCTATATGTATTCTAGCAAACTACGCCTAAAACTTCCTGGAGGCTCTGAGCTGTGGCAACAAAGGCAAGGCATGGTGGAATGCACAACATATGATGCTGTTCCAAATGACCATCTCATATCTCTTTGGCTTCATTGATGCTATCTCCATGAAGCTCAATCTCTCTCAGACAAAGTTCGATGTCACGTACAAGCTTTGTCCCAAGACAACCTCAAACTGCTCGAACGAGAGGTCTTGTATTTTGGAAGCTCGTCGGTCATGTTCACCATCATGGCCACACCGCATTGCTCAACCTATTTGGAGCAGTCTAGGGTATCAAGGCTTCTTGTGGATTATTCATGGAGCTATTTAGGGTTACAGACTATGTTGTGCATTTTGATTATGGTCTTGAATAAACCAATTTATGAGGCTCCCTTGTACGTACTGGTAGAGGAAGCTTACCATCGGAGGGGCGTTGTTCAAGTTTGTTGCTTTGGCTTCTTGGGATGCCTCCTAGCATCCCTGATATGTTGACAAAATATGTATGGAAAAGTTTAGATACGATCTTGGGTCTTCTTTAATATAAGATCTTGTTTGACTTTTATTTTGGTCCTCCAATATAATACTTTAATCCACTTTGTCTCTCATATTATGTATTTTTTTTCTAAGGGGTTCATTCTAATAATAATAGTTTTAACCAATACATTTGATTAGCAAGAATATTCTAGAAAAGACAACACGATTTATTACAAAAACTAATTGAACTTATTTCCTTAATCTAGGACTAGAGGTAGTACTATGTTGAAATGTTTAAGTTAGTCTCTGATAGTTAATTTATAGTTGAAGAATGCGCGATGAATTTCTAATAATTAGCCATATTTAGATTAGATTACGTTTGTTGTCACCAAGGGCAATTGCTTGTTAACTCTGTCATAAGAGATTTTTTTTTGAAAAAAAAGGAGCATATTTGAATCTTCATTCCTCTCATGCTGCTGAGAAAACTAACCAATACCGGCTCCTGTTGGCAAAATGTTACAATTTTAGTGAAAAAGGTGTTTGTGATATGTTGAACTTGGTTTGGTAGGTTGGTGTTATAACATATAACCTAGATTAAATTATAAAAGAATTGGCTAATGTGTTGGGTTAGGCAAGCCCCATTTTCAATTGCTCATGTTTGGGTCCTTTTATTTTTTTTTTAACTTGATAGTGCGGGTTGCATTACTCATTCACTTGGGCCACAATAGCCACTCTTGTGACACAAACAACAAGGAATTATAATCAGATCCTGAATTAATGAATTTAATCCCCCAAGAATTGTTCATAACTGAGAATGCAATGCGCAATAAACAAGTTTTAGTACAGTAAAATAATACTCCAGCTCTTAATATAGGACTTAATTATTGAGTAATTTTGATCCTAAACATAAGAAACTATTTTATGTATATATTATCAAATTTTTAAATTACTCTGGTGGATATTCTCTCAACCACAATCAAGTAGAAGAGGGAGGGAGGATATTAAGAAAAATGATTGGTGTTTTAAGAAAAATATGTTATATTTTTTATAATTAACTAACTTACCTAACTTTTTTAATCTAATCAAATTAATTAATATGTCTTATATTAAGGACCAGAGGAGTAATAGATTTATGCTACTCATTTATTATTGACATTTCTTGATAATTAAACCTCCCTTTCGAGACCTTATAATAATTCTCCCTGAAAAAAACAATAATGCGTTATGTGCAAGAAAAAAATTAGGATTCCAATGTATATGTACGTATGTATATGTAAAGATTTTTAGATAGATAGATAAAAGAGCATATAATATGTACATATATATATAGGCAAAACAGATAAAAGGAGAAATAATGACCAGTAAAAATAAAAGTTAAATTTTTATATATTATCAAATTTTTGTGTCAGTCTTTTTGGATGCTTAAGTTCATGAAAATATAATATAGAAGATTTAATTTTAAAATTTTTTTATATCTTTTACTGTGATACAGCTGCCGATCCCCCCCCCCCCAATTCAAGTTGCCGAAATCAAGCAAAAACTTATAAATTTGTGTTATAATAACATTAAATACTTCTCCTAAGTGTTTCTTAACTATAAGAATGTGGATTTAATGTCCGTAGATGTGTATGTGTGCCAATTCCTTTGAGGAAAACACAAAAAAAGAAGTGAAAGAATTAAAAAGAAAAGGATGGTAGAAATGTGTGTGTTTGAAAAAATATATAAATATATATTGAAGTTTGCGTTTATCGGCGAACTTTGTTGAATTTTTTTTTAAATAAAAGACAATCAACGTAAGGTTTATCCGATCGTCGACTTTTTTGACCAACTTTGATGAAATTGTTAACACACATAGTCCCATCAAAAAAGGCCTAAACTACACTTTATATTTATTTATTCCCATCCCATCTACTATTCCACTACTTCAATATAGTCTCAAAATATATGACTCTAATAATACCCAGCTCACGCTCACCAAAAAAAAAAAAAGGCAGATTAGTTAAATTTGTAACAAAACATAATTTTTTTTATTTGCACATAATTAAGGATATATTCTACATAATTAAAAAAAGAATTATATCCATAAAAAATGAGTTGCACTTGCTATTTAAATAAATGTTTCAACAATTTTCTCTTATTTAATTTGGTTATCTTTTTGACCATTCGAACAAGGTGTTGTATAACATATTAATATTATAATTTTGATGGTGATGATCCTCAGCAACCACCGAGCAGCCAACGGGGAATAAGACCTGCAAGCATATGAATTGGATCTAGACGGCACCCCAGAAACATATAAGAATTTCTTTTGGATTGATGCGACCCAACGGAGCCTTAATAAATTAATGATAAGAAAAATAATAAACAAATAGAGAACAGTGTCATAAATGGGGGTGGTGGGTTATATATATTAGTGAAGTTCATGAGAAAAAGAACGAGGGGAATGATGAAGGCAGATGATAGGAGTGAGAGTAGCTATGTTCCATTGTTTGCGACGGAAAGACCCAGAGGAAGGGTCATCATCTACAGGCTCTTCTGCGTCTCGTTATTCGCCGGAATATTTTTTATCTGGGTTTACAGATTCTCTCACTTGTTCATCCATGGCGGTCGTCAACATGAAGAAGAAGAAGATGATGATGAAGGTGAGAAGAAATGTTATTGGGTTTTATGGGTTGCTCTGTTTGGTGCAGAGCTATGGTTCGGCTTCTACTGGATCCTCACCCAATCTCTCCGATGGAATCTTGTCTTCAGACTTCCCTTCAACAACCGTCTCTCTCTAAGGTTCTTCTCTCTCCCCCACCATAGAAAAGCTGTTTTTACGTAGAAACACTTTTAAAAGTGCTTTTATCCAAATACCTTTTTAATTGAATGTAAGCAATTTAGATAGTCATTTTATGCAGTAAGCAGGAATAATTATTATTTTTGAATTTTAAGACACATTAATAATTTTTACGTAAAAGTATTTAACATTTTTTTTTTAATTTTTGCTCCTTAAGATTTTAATACATGATCTTATAAATTGTAAGTGAATGTTTTAGGAGAAATGATAAGTGTACTCATAAGGATAAAAATCAAATTTTTAAGATTTTTTAACAAATTAATAATATAACAATCTTTTAAGGATCAATATAATTTTAATCCCCAAATTTGGATCCATTTTTATTTTGGTCTTTTAAATTTTAAACACATGATTTAAGTTTTTGGAAATTTAGTTCATCTTAAAACGTTGATTGTCGAAGGTATGATGGTATTAAAATCTAGTGATGTATCATTAATGGTATCAAAAGTGATGGTGTGGACTCATAAGATGCCACATAACTGGATCTAGTGTGGATAATAGAAAGTAGCACAATAAACAGAGCTCCTAAAACAAACATAAATGAAGAAAAAAGAGGGGTTAAATAACTATGTTTTGAGAGCCAGTTCTTTTTTTTTTTTCCTCTTTTATTATTCATACAAGATTCTGTTAAATATTATATGATGAGTTCACATTATCACTTTAGTTTTATTTAGGATATTTTGGTAGATTTTAATACTGTTACACATTTAGATATTAATGTTTTAAGACAGATTAAATTTTCAGGAACTTAAACTATGTATTTAAAATTTAAGAGACTGAAATCAATATAGATCCAAATTTTAAGAACTAAAAATTATATTAACATATTATTTTAAACAAAAAGTAATTTAGAAAACATCAATGGCACTACAGCTATTATTTTCATGGATGTAGCGATCCTAGTAGCCTAGACGCGGTGTCGGCCAGCTTGATTTAAGATATTTAATGATTTTTTAAAATAAAAAAGTATATTGGCCAATGTTGCAATTTTTCAAAGTAGAATCTGGTCAAAAAAAAAAATTTCAAAGTAGAAACTAGAACTACTCTCTGTTGATGCCATGGCACGAGTTTTGACTTTTTGTCATCACATTTTGTCTCTTCTACGTAGGAACTAGAACTACTCACTGTTGAATTTTTCATGCCGAATTTAAGAAAATTAAAACTCTTTTAATCAAATCTATCCAGCCAACCCCATACCATCAATTTTAGATTTGGAAAAATAAATATTTATATATTTAAACAATTAAGATTAAAAATAATAGAATGGGTTGCTGGTAAAAAAAAAAATACCAGTATGGGTTGGGCTCACATGTAGTGGAAGTGGGACCCGTTCCCAGTTAAATGATCCAAGCCATACCCACCTCCAGTGTAGGCCCACGTATTAAGCAAAGGCGGCCCACCAACACTCTTTCCTCGTAATTCAAAGAACTTGGACCCCAAAAAACCATAAAAACTGCTCCTCAGTCCTCAGTTCTCCGATTTCTCTCCCCAGCTAGTTTATAAATAATTTATCACCCAAATATTTAAAAATTATAAAATTGTTTTTAAAAAAATAATAAATAGTTAAAAAAAATAAAATTAATTATGGATATTTGTTCTCAAAAAGTCGGTTCTTGGAGAGTTTAGCTTTCCCTACTTTAAATAATTTTGCCTTGTACGAATTTTGTCCTGTAAAATGTAAAAGGCAAACAAGCACGGCTGGTTGGCCCCTGCCAACTTCCCACAACAAACTGGATTGACATTCTCTATTTCTTCCATCTCCATTGGAACTATGTAATGTGTGTGTGTGTATTTATATAACTAGGTACTCTTAACTTGGTGTGTTCTGAGACAGATATGAACATGGCTTGCCAAGAGTGGACGTGTTTGTGTGCACAGCAGACCCAGAGATAGAGCCGCCGGTGATGGTGATAAACACAGTGTTATCAGTGATGGCCTACGATTATCCCTCTGATAAGCTCAGTGTGTATCTCTCCGACGACGCTGCCTCGGAGATCACCTTCTACGCTTTACTTGAAGCTTCTTCTTTTGCTAAGCACTGGCTCCCCTTCTGCAACAGATTCCATGTTGAACCCAGATCTCCTTCTGCTTATTTCAATACTTTGTCCTCTTCCACTTCTTCAGATGACCCTCTTTTCTCCAAAGAGTTGGCATGTATTAAGGTAATATATACATAATTAACTAACATCTATATGTGTTTGTGTTTTTTCCCTCTCAAATATGGGAGCTGGTTTCTCTAACTCCTTACTCTGCAACTAGAAACTATACCAAGATATGGAACGACGAATCGAGGATGCTACCAAGTCAGGACAAGTTCCCCGAGATGTACGTTCAAAGCACAAGGGATTTTCTCAGTGGGATTCCTTTTCCTCTCGACGTGACCATGACGCAATTCTTCAGGTATCTATATATTATTGTCAACCTAATTTCACTAATGTAAATTTAATCTTACGCTTGTAACTTTGTTTGCTGTAGATATTACTTCATAGAAAAGATGCACAGAATTCGAAAGATGTAGATGGGTCTGTTATGCCAACTCTAGTTTACTTGGCTCGCGAGAAGAGACCCCAATATCCCCATCATTTTAAAGCTGGAGCCATGAATTCATTGGTACAGTATCAATTATCATTTCACATAATGTGTGTGTGTGTGTGTGTGTGTGAGAGAGAGAGAGAGAGAGAGAGAGAGAGAGATGAACAACTCATGGAGGTTCCCGGTTAAAAATGCAGATAAGGGTGTCTTCAAAGATTAGCAACGGCAAGATCATAATGAACGTGGACTGTGACATGTACTCGAACAATTCAGAATCAGTGAGAAACGCACTGTGCTTCTTCATGGATGAACAGAAAGGGCATGAAATAGCTTATGTGCAGTTCCCACAGAACTTCATGGGTGTCACCAAGAATGACTTATACGGGAGTGATCTACGAGTAATTTCTGCGGTTAGTCAAAACATTAAATCGTGTCTAACTCCAACATTGTACTCAATCCTGTTATCTGCCATAACTTGAATGATGGGGTAAATTTGCAGCTAGAATTTCATGGTGCCGATGGTTGCGGTGGGCCATTGTATATTGGATCTGGCTGCTTTCACAGAAGAGATGTTCTTAGTGGGAGGAAGCTCAGTGATCAGCCCAAGTTTAATGACTGGAAGAGTGAGGATGACCCATTCATGGAAGCTAGCTTGCAGAAACAAGAACAAGAATCAAAGCCTCTTGCTAGCTGCACCTATGAACAAAACACACTCTGGGGAAAAGAGGTCTCTCTCTCTCTCTCTCTATATATATATATATATATATATATAATTAATATTTCTAAGACAATAATTTACAAAATACTGATAAATCTGAGAGCATGCAGATGGGGCTGCTATATGGGTGTGCGGTGGAGGATGTGATAACAGGATTGTCTATACAGAGCAAAGGATGGAAGTCAGTGTATTGCAATCCGAAAAGGAAGGCATTCTTAGGGGTGGCTCCAAACGCACTGGGGCAGACACTGGTGCAGCACAAGAGATGGTCAGAAGGTCAACTTCAAATTCTGTTTTCAAAGTACAGTCCAGCTTGGTATGGTTATGGCAGAATCAGTTTAGGCCTTCAAATGGTTTACTGCTGCTATAACTTATGGGCAGTCAACAGTTTAGCTACACTTTGTTTCTGCCTTCTCCCTTCTCTTTGCCTCCTTAAAGGCATTTCCTTGTTTCCAAAGGTATGATCTCTATATATCTCCCTTAATTAGCCTTATAAACATCGCCATTTCTTTATCATCTTTTGTTTCTACACCCCCATTATAAAGGCATTTCCCTGTTTCCAAAATGAATTGTTGTGGTGGACTTGTTTGATCAGATGTCAAGCCCATGGTTCATACCTTTCGCATATGTAATACTTGCGGAAACCGCTTATAGCTTGTTGGAGTTTTGGATCTGTGGAGGCACAATCCAGGGATGGTGGAATGAGCAAAGGATTTGGCTCTACAAGAGAACAAGCTCTTACTTCTTTGCTTTCATGGATACCACCTTGAAGCTTTTAGGGTTTCCTTCAGATTCAGGCTTCATAATAACATCTAAAGTTGCAGAAGAAGAAGTTTCTCAGCGTTACAAGGGAGAAATTATGGAGTTTGGAGGCTCTTCTCCAATGTTCACTCTCTTAGCAACACTTGCCATGCTCAATCTATTTTGCTTTCTTGGCGTTTCAATGGATGCTCTTATAAGTGAAGATGGCTTTATTAGGGTTTTGGAGAAGATGATGCTGCAGATAATATTATGTGGGGTTCTTATTCTCATCAATGTGCCAATATACAAAGGCCTTTTCTTTAGGAAGGACAAGGGAAGATTGCCTACCTCCGTGACCATAAAATCTACAATATTTGCTTTAAGTGCTTGTGCTCTCTTCAAGGCATTAAACTAAATTAGGTTCTTAAATTTGCATTGAGTATGATTATATGTAGTTTTCAATTGTGGAATAAGTGAGGTATATCTTGCTGTAATATTTGATTGGCGAAAGAGGGGCAAGATTATTTTCTCATGCGATTTTATATAAAATTCATTCCATATGACTTTAAAGTGTATTTATCTGTGTTTCAGTTTGAGTTTTCAACTCATTATCACACGTATATTTAAATAAATCATGAATATATTTTTGTTTATAAATATAATTTAAAAACTCTACAATTAAGTTGTTTATTATATTTGCCATCGATTGATAATAATATTGGGAATGAAAATGATACATTGATATTATCAGTAAGTAATAATCAGCTATCATTCTCAGGCAATGCTTCATATCTGTGTTTAGACAAACCTTCAAGCATAGACTCTCTCATAGGTACGTAATTATACATTGATGAAATGTTTGCTCGAGAAAAAAAAAAATCTATATTGTTATTAAATTAAATTTTACTAAGATGCCTTTATGTCTGTGTGTATACTCCCTTTAGTCCCTATTATAAGTCATTCCTAACTACTCCTCTAATCCTATTTATAAGGCAACTTTAATATGTTTTACATAGATTAAGAAAGACTTTAAACTGCATTAACTCTTCATTAAAATATAATAACTTTTTAACTTTACTCCTATTTAATATATATATCTTTAAAAAAAAACTATCTACATTATAATAAATAAAGGACAATATAGTACATTCATAATAAAAATTTAATAAAATGATTTATAAATAGGACAAAAAAATCTTCTCTCTCTGCCCTATAAATAGGACAAGAGGAGTAATTCATAGGTATCAATAAAAATAGTTAAAAGCATTGTAAACCAAAAAAAAGAAGTTAAAAGCATTAAATTTGTCATAAAATTTAAGTGATTTTTAATATTACATTATTAATTATACTAAACTCCAACAACTTATTAAATTTTATTCCCTCACCACGCTTATTAAATATGGGCATAGATGGCAAAAAAATAATTAATGCTACTTGAAACTAAGCAAATGCCTTATAAAAAGAATAAAAAATATTTTTTAATTGATGTCTTATAATAAGGACACATGAAAGAATATATTTTAAAGGCTTGTTAACAAAATGAATGAATTTAAACAAGCATACAAATAAATATCGCCTTGACTTTATACGCAAACTTTGTTGGAACGTTTTAAATAAAAGACAATCAATGTAAGGTTTATCCGATCGTGAACTTTCTTGACTAACTTCGATGAAATTTTTAAAATAGATAATCCCATCAAAAAAGACTTTATACGAGTATTTATTTATTTCCATCCTACCCACTCTTCCCCTACTTTCAATATAGTCTCATAATATATGACTCTAATAATACCCATCCCAGAGGCACCAAAAAAATTAGTCAGATTAGTTAAATTTGTAACAAAACATAATTATTTTATTCCCTCTAAGAATATATTCCACATAATTAAAAAAAGAATTAGATCCATTAAAATTGATTTCCACTTAGGGGTGGAAGTAGACTAGGCCCCTATCGGGAGTCTACAGTCTAACCTACTTTAAGCCTAGCCTAACTTATTTAGTAAATAGGCTAGGCTCAGGCTTAGACCTATTGCAAGGCCTATTTAGGTTAACAGGTCAGGCCTATTTTTATAAGGCCTAGCCTACAAGCCTACAGGCTTGGCTTATTTAGCTTTTTTTTTTAATTTACACTATTATATAATATAATCTAGATTAATTTTATAAATTATTTATAAAATTACTAACTTAGCCATAATCTAAGTCTCACATCTTATCATTCACACACAAACGCAACCCTTTCATCAATCAATCTTTCACCTCTGCATTTCTTTTCTTTGATCACTCAAGCTGACTATGTTAGCTCACTCCTTCTCCCCGGATTTATGTTCTTCACTAAAACATAATAATTGTAGCAAGTTTGTTTTAGTGATGTCGAAATGAAATATTATAATACTGCTAGAAGAACAAGAGGTAAAATCTAGTTTTACATACCACTTGTTGGGTTTGGTTGATTTTAGAAAATATATCTCCTTAGTCAACATATAACTGGTTTTTCTTATTCATATTTGCTGGAACAATTGTTGTCACTAAGCATTCTTTTTCCTTACTAGACTCTTATTATCTTATATTGTATGTGAGAATAGATCCTAAGCTTTTAAGACATAACGTAGGCTTTAAAATAGGTTTGAAGAGTTATACATGAATTTGGAGGCATGTGCTTTTAAGCCTATTTAAATACCTAAATTTTAAGTAAGCTTTTAAAAAGGCTTTCAGGCCTTATCAAGTCTTTTGAAGGCTTAGGCTTGAGCTTAAAAAAAAAAAAAACTACATACAAGCTCAGACTTAGGACTAGGCTTTAGATCTCTGATGCAGGCTCAGGCCTATTTAGTTAAAGCCTAACTTAGTCTAGCCTATTTCCACCCCTATTTGCACTTGCTATTTAAATAAATTTTTTTAACAATTTTCTCTTAGTACCTTTGATTCTAATATAAGACATTGTTTATAGATTATAAATGAAATTTTATAATTAGGACTTGAGATAGTATTTAATTTGATTATCTTTTTGGACATTCAAATAGGTTGTTGTATAATATTTTTTCTGGTCATTAATATGAGAGCTAATTAATTAATTTGAGTAAATTAAATTAGTTATTTATAATAAATAGGTGTTATCTTTCCTAAAACATTCTTGCTAGTCAAGTATATTGGCTAAAATATCCTTGTTAATTAAGTATAAGAACTATCTTAAAAAAATAGATAAATATAAAAAATAAAAAATTAAGATTTTATACTTAAGATCAAAATAAAAGTCAAAATGTTTGTTGGTAGAAAATAATATTTTTTTTCAAAATGAAATGCCAAGTGTATATATAAAGTATATAATTTCAAAAGAAATTAGAAATATTTTATTCCGGGCAAGAAAATTTTGCGTTAAAAAGGACGCAATTCCATACAAATCACATTGGAGCAGCTCTGCTATATAAACAAACGCACATGGCTAAGAAGGGAGAGATTCCTTATCCACTGTTTGAGACAAGGAGAGCCACAGATGGGTGGCTCATCACATACAGGCTCTTCTCTATCTCATTATTTATCGGAATATTCTCAATCTGGCTTTACAGATTCTCACACTTGTTCAATATCCATGGTGGGGTCGAAGAAGAAGACGATGATGGTGAGAAATCTTGGGTCGTCTGGGTTGGCTCGCTTGCTGCTGAACTATTTTTTGGACTGTACTGGCTTCTCACCCAAGCTCTCAGATGGAATCCTGTGTTCAGACAAACCTTCAAGCACAGACTCTCTCAAAGGTACGTAATTACACACAGACACACACACGCATACTCTCACTTCTCTTCTCTCTTTTTGTTTATCTGATTATTATTTGTCATTAAAAGCATGTGTTTCTAAACTTTTGGCTAACCAAGTTCAGTTATATACACTTGCAAATTTTAGTTCTTTAAGTCTCTTTCAAAATCTGTTCATGAGATTTTTAGATACACGAAGTATAGAAAAAGGCTAAATTTACTGGCTTGTAGATGTTTTGAATAGCAGAGGTGATGATTTATTTACGCATGTGATGGTTAATATAATTTTTTGTTCATCAGGTTTACTCTTATTTTGGTTTTGGTCTTTCAAATTTCAAATCATATTTAATCTCTCAAGTTTTTTTTTATTAAAAATATTGGTCCGTATATTCAATAAAGATCTGGACTATTTTACCCCTTGAGGGATCAAAACTTATAGTTTAAAATTTAAGAAACCAAAACTAAAATAAGAACAAACTTGAAAGACTAAAGATTATATTAACCCTATATATATAAAATAAGTTTCCAGATTTTCAAATAACTTGTGTGTTTTGAACAGATATGAGCATAGTTTACCGGGAGTAGACGTCTTTGTGTGCACGGCAGACACAGATAAAGAGCCACCAATGATGGTGATGAACACAGTGTTATCAGTAATGGCCTATGATTATCCTTCTGACAAGTTGAGTGTGTATCTCTCAGACGATGCTGCCTCAGAGATTACCTTCTATGCTTTATTAGAAACTCGTTCTTTTGCTAAGAAATGGCTTCCCTTCTGCAAGAGATTCCATATGGAACCCAGGTCTCCTTCTGCTCATTTGGATGGCTTGTGCTTACCTACTTCTTCAGATCATGATGACGACTCTATTTGGATCCAGGAATTGGCAGCCATTAAGGTAATTAATATGTAGTACAAATCTTTATTTGTTTATGCTTTCTTGTACGATGGGTTTCTCTAATTCCTTCCTCTATGTTATGTCCAATAATGTAGAAACTATATGATGATATGGAAAGACGAATCGAAGATGCAACCAAGTCGGGACAAGTGCCCAGAGACGTACGTTCAATGCACAAGGGATTTTCTCAGTGGGATGCATATTCTTCTCGACGTGACCACGATACAATTCTCAAAGTATATATATAATATCATCAGTATTAATAATCAGCTTGAGCAATAATGGTTTTAATTCTATTCAACCGCTTTGCCTCTTATCGAATATAGATGCTTAATTTGATATAATTCTTATTAGATATTGCTTCATACAAAAGATTCACTCAACTCGAAAGATGCAGATGGGTCTGTTATGCCAACTCTGGTGTACGTGGCTCGTGAGAAGAGACCCCAATATCACCATCATTTTAAAGCTGGGGCCATGAATTCATTGGTATATATATAATGCATTAAGTTTCATCACACAATACATATATACATGCATTCATTTATGCATAAGTCGTCACGATGGTAATTTAATTTATTGGTTAAAAATGCAGATAAGGGTTTCTTCAAAGATTAGCAACGGGAAAATTATTCTGAACGTGGACTGTGACATGGCGTCTAATAGTTCAGAATCTGTGAGGGATGCACTGTGCTTCTTCATGGACGAAGAGAAAGGCCATGAAATAGCTTTTGTGCAATTCCCACAGAACTTCGTTGGTGTCACTAAGAATGACCTGTATGCGAATCATATGCAAGTATTCAACAAGGTCAGTTAACAGAATTTATCAAACAACATCCAAGTTGCAGTCTCTGTCTTTTTTTCTTCTTTTTTTTATGTAAGGTTGGAACTGCAAATATTAAGGTTTAGATCTACGTGGCATATATATGTTATAACCA